GACCGTGCAAATCTTTCGGTCGTTTTTTAACCCACTTCCCGTTATCCAATCGAGCTGACATTTTGCACACAGACTCGTTGTGCGTGACAATGAATTTTCGTGAAGTTTTTTTCCAAAATTTTACACTGTTTAGGGAACTTTTTTAAAATATTTATTTACCAATTGGTTAATGCTGGCACACAATCATCTGACCCATAGGTGGTAGCCATCTCAAACCAGAGGACGAGAGGACTCTAGCCGCCCCAATGCCACGCATATAAAGGATTTATAGTGAAAAACTTTGTTTTTACGGGTTAATTTTTTAAGCGTGGAGACGCTGGAAGTTTTTGACACTGAGAAACGTTGGTGACGGTCTCCATTTTTTTTATTTTGTTATGCAGGGTGCTTAAATTTTTTTTTAATACTTCTGAGAATTTGCAACAGTACCACAAGTGTGCCTCTGGGCTCTAGAGACCACCTGGAGAAGATTCCAGGCACGCATTGACAACGATGGCGAACAAGTGTAGACTCTGACTTTTTGAAGCTATTAACATTACACTTGTTAACATGTCACAGTGTAAAAACGATAGTCTCATATAAGTGTCAACATTTTTTTGAAGCACCCTGTACATCCGTTCTGAAGAAGGGCCTTTAAACACCAATATACGCTGATGTTCATCCTTGTTTTTCGGTGTAAATGCAGTTGTCGGTGGATGACGGTGGTAAAGTCTTCTAGCCAATGCATTTTAGCCTTTTTTTATTTTTACATATATATTTTTTTACCGCTGCTAACATTGTCTTCGAAGCGAACATTGTATTTGAAGTTTATGGAATACATCGCGTGAGGATTTCATTCGGTTCTTTCCTACGTAACACGCCAGACGTGTTCTGAGCGTTCAACTGGTGATGCAAATTTACACGTCTATTGAAGCTCCGACTGCTTTAATTCGTACCCGGTGGGTTTAGAAGGCATTTACTCGAGCACCTGTTTGCTATTTGGTGGATGCTGAAGACCCCGTGACACATCACTCGTACAGCGTCCCATTACCTTTGCCTGCTGTTTCCGGGGCCCAAAATGACACGTGTGTAAATGAGATGTACAAATCACCGGTAACAATAATCGCAACGCTTATTTCACGGGGAACTCACTTGTCATTCCAGGTCGTATTTGGTGGGGGGGGGGGGGGGTTGACCATACTTCACCACGCTTCTCGGTGTATCCCATTATACAGCTGCTGTTCACCCCGAGCTCGAAATGCTCTGATACATCTGGCATTGGCCTTGTACTGGTCGCCTTTCTGCGTTGCTCTCTGCTCTGACACTGGTGGTGAGACGAGGCCATAAAGAAGGCAGCTGTCTCTGGTGTAGGCCAATCAGTTTCAAAGACAACGCATTTATTATCAGAGCCACGTGTTTGTTTGCATGTTCACCACAAGCACTGTGTGAAATTTTGATTTAAAGCTTTCGTGACTGCAGGGATTCATCTTCTTGGTTCTTTCGGTAAAGTCACGTAGAAGGGAAGTAATAAAATAATAAAAATAATAAAAATAAAACATAATAAAATTATTCTCACGACGTTTCGGCCACAACGCAAGCAGCCGTCCTCGGGTGAAAACCAGGTCCGTCGAGGCGACAGAGTCTGAATGAAACAGCACACGAGCTTGGAGCATATATATAAGCTGGGCGCATTGACAAAGGAATTTGCATATCAAGAGGAATTTAGCATATTTATGGGAAGTGCAGGAATGTGATTAGTGATTAGTACTGCATATGCATGTGCATTATGCAGGATTAACAGCATCAATCCTGCATAATGCACATGCATATGCAGTACTAATCACATTCCTGCACTTCCATAAATATGCTAAATTCCTCTTGATATGCAAATTCCTTTGTCAATGCGCCCAGCTTATATATATGCTCCAAGCTCGTGTGCTGTTTCATTCAGACTCTGTCGCCTCGACGGACCTGGTTTTCACCTGAGGACGGCTGCTTGCGTTGTGGCCGAAACGTCGTGAGAATAATATTATTATGTTTTATTTTTATTATTTTATTTTATTACTTCCCTTCTACGTGACTTTACCGAAAGAACCAAGAAGAAGCACTGTGTGGTTAGTGCGAACTGGATTCCTTGCACAAAGGGTTTATATTTTGTGTTTGAACATCTTAACACAACTCCTGTTTTATTGCCAGAAAGGGTAAAAGCTATGATGAACTTCTCAGTGTGCGTTGGTCAATTTTAACTTTGTTTATTATGGTGCGATGTTCTCATCTTCTGCCAGTCTGCCGCCCCGTGAAATCTCCGTTACTTAAAGTGGCGATTTCTAACTCCTCTAACGATGGGCTATGTTTTGTTATCGTTTCCTCGAGTTCATTCCCATTATTTGTTATAATGTCTTCTGTTGTCAGCAGTTTGACTATTAACTCCGTCACCTGGTATGCAGGAGGTCTCAGGGGTTCAATCCTAAGATTTGGAGTTTGCGTGTCTCTCTCCCCGTGGCCGTGTGGATTTTTCTCCGGGTCCTCCGTTTTTTTTTCCTCCACAATTTAGAATCGATGTGCGTTTAAATGATTTGGTTGCTATAAATTTCCACGTGATGATAATCCACTTCGTTGAGCTATCATTTGTGGCCAGGTCGCTTCTGAAAGAGCACGATACAGCTCAGTAGGCCTTACGTAGTAAACTAAAAAATAGTTTACAGTTTAATTTTAAATGTTCAGATGGCATCAACTTTGCTCACTCATACAGCCCAGATGTTGAACAAAAGTTATCTTGGTGAGAGGTAAGTCATATTGTGGCTCACGCGACCATTTGGCTCATGGCGTGGGCCCTAGATTTAGCAGCACTATACTCAAACTAAACATATTCTTGGTTCTTTCGGTAAAGTCACGTAGAAGGGAAATAATAAAATAATAAAAATTAAACATAACAAAATTCTCACGACGTTTCGACCACAACGCAAGCAGCCGTCCTCAGGTGAAGAAACACAGCTGTCGGAAAGACAGCGTTGATTAAGACGCTGTCTTTCCTTATTTTATTGTTTCCCTTCTACGTGACTTTACCGAAAAAACCAAGTATATGAATCCCTGCAGTCACGAAAGCTTTAAATCGAAACTGAACATGTTTGTATTGTACCAGGTAAGGCCCCACTGAAATGGAGAGCACTCTTTCAGAAGCGACCTGGCCATCGCAAACGATCGCTCAACAAAAGGGGCTTCTCACGTGGACATTTATAGCAGCCAAATTACTCTGAACGCACGTCGATTCTAAAACGTGGAGGAAAAAAAAAACGGAGGACCTGGGGAAAAATCCACGTGACCACGGGGAGACAGAAAACAAAAATTGATATACAGCAGGCGTCGGGGTCGGGATTGAACCCACGAGCTTTTGTAAACCAGGCGAGGTAGTTAACAGCTCGCTACCGCCGCCTGAGCACCGCCGTTCTGCTATTTTAAACCGAAAAGACTCTGCACAAACAAACGTCATCCCCGTCTGTGGCCGTCAACAGCCGATTGTTCTGCGCGCGCGTCCGACGAGAGTACTGGGTCATGCTATGAGTGGCAGAGTTCTTTTGCAGGCAATTAAATTGTAAAAGAATACACGACGCATTGACCATAGATAAAAATAGAACTTGTAGGATGTTCAGATTCCGTCGCCTCCACTGAACAGTTTGATGACGCGTTAAGCCTATTGCCTTTTCCGCAAATGAAACCTGGGCAATTGCAGGGGTGTGATTTCCGTTGTTTGATTTCAGTATGTTTCAGTTTGTTGTCTCAACGCCTTCCACTCTACTTCCATATCCGTCTGTCCCTCCGTTTGCCTGTGTTGACCCGGTCACTCGCTGACCGTCTGTCTTTGGCTTCCACCATTCCTCCAGTTCTATCAGTGATTCAACATCGAGTCTTTTTGCTTTTACATATTGTCTTTATATTCTTGGTTCTTTCGGTAAAGTCACGTAGAAGGGAAATAATAAAATAATAAAAATATAAAACAATAAAATTCTCACGACGTTTCGAGTGCAACACAAGCAATCATCATCAGGTGTGAAATCCACAAGAAAATTTGAAAAAAATAATTATTGTTGTGGATTTCACACCTGATGATGATTGCTTGTGTTGCAGTCGAAACGTCGTGAGAATTTTATTGTTTTATATTTTATTATTTCCCTTCTACGTAACTTTACCGAAAGAACCAAGAATATGAATCCCTGCAGTCACGAAAGCTTTAAATCAAAATATTGTCTTTGTTCATCGACGTGGCTATCCTGTCAGTTTCTCTACCCATCTCTCTCTCTCTACAAGTCTCTCCCGCTGTAAATATCTGTTCCTTTGTCTACGTGCATACACACAAAGGGTACCCGGAGCAGGTGGGTGGGCGAGATGTTATCGCCCTCGCCTGGTATGCAGGAGGTCGTGGGTTCAATCTCACCCCTTGACGCCTGCTGCTGTATATTTGTAGTTTGCGTGTCTCTCTCTCTCCCCGTGGTCGCGTGCATTCTTCCCTCCACATTTAGAAACATACGTTAGGATTATGTGGTCGACGAGAAATTTCTCCACGTGACCAGGTCCCAGGTCGCTTCTGAAACAAAAGAGCGAAAAGCTCGGTCGGCTTTACCTGGTAAAATAAAGTTCAGTCTGTCTATAATTCTATCTGTTACTTCTAGATTTAAAGCTTTCGTGACTGCAAGGATTCATATTCTTAGGTTTTTTCGGTAAATTCACGTAGGTAAAAAATTAATAAAAGTAAAATAAAATAAAAAAATCACGACGTTGTGATTTTTATTTTTTTTATTTTATTTTACTTTTGTTAATTTTAACTTTTTTACCTACGTGAATTTACCGAAAAAACCTAAGAATATCTATCTGTTACTGTCTTCCTCTGCCCATCATTCTGTCCGTCCACCTGCCCTTTGACCTGTTCAGTCCTCTGTCCTGCTGGCTGTCCCTCTCCCCCTGCCTTCCCGACTCTCCCGAGGGCCGTGTTTTACGATCCCCCCGTCGTCTGCCCGTCTGCGAAACCCGCAGCTCTCCATCGGAGGCATCATCCTCCTGCGGGATCTGAGCGAGGACGCCGAGGAACTGGTGGACACGGTGGCGGCGCACGGCCCCAAGCTGGAGGAGGAGGAGAAGGAGCCGGACGCTCCCGAGCCCTTCGAATACGTGGACGAGTAGACGTCCGGTGAGTGGTGGGGTGTGTGGCGCTCGCAGCGTTCACAGCAACGTTAGAACGGCATGCATGCACGGCAGAGGTCGCAAACGGGTTTTGATTCCTTACCCGTACCCGGCCGCACCAGGGTCGCAAACGGGTACCCGGCTACCCGTACCCGGCCGTACCCGTACCCTACCCGTACCCGTCCGGGTACGGGTATCGGGTACCTGATTGCGACCTCTGGGATGAAGCCATGTTGCAGGCACGGGTGGGTTGATTCTAGGAACTTGATTTGTGAGAAGAGACAAGACGTTGGGAAATGAGTGACAAACAGTTACTCACCAGTGACTCACGGTCTACCCGTACCCGGCCGCACCAGGGTCGCAAACGGGTACCCGTACCCAGCCGGGTACGGGTAGCCGGGTATCGGGTAGGGTACGGGTATCGGGTACCCGGTTGTGACCTCTGATGCACGGTGGTAAGATGTTAATTACCTCGCCTGGTATGCAGGAGGTCGTGGGTTCGATTGCGACTCTTGACGCCTGCTGTATATTTGGAGTTTGCGTGTCTCTCTCCCCGTGGTCACGTGGATTTTTCTCTGGGTCCTCCGGTTTTCCCCTCCACATTTAGAATCGACCTGCACTTAAAGAGTATTTTGGCTGCTCCTAAATCAGCCACTTGGTTGAGCTATCATTTGTGGGTCAGGTAGCTTCTGAAAAAGAGCTACACAGCTCAGTTGACCTTACCTGGTAAAATAAAATAATTTATCTTCTTGGTTTTTTCGGTAAAGTCACGTAGAAGGGAAATAATTAAATAATAACAATAAGACATAATAAAATAATTCTCACGACGTTTCGGCCACAACGCAAGCAGCCGTCCTCAGGTGAAGAACAGGTCTGTCGGAAAGACCGGTGATATGCAGCTGTAAAGAATGTCAATGTGACGAGTCCGACAATGTGATACTCGTGTTATATTGACCCAGGGAGTGATGTACGGTGGGCTTTGTAAACCCAGCCCTCAAGCAGGATTCGAACTCGCGCTTATTGGGAGTGGAGCTCTGTATCCACGGTGCCGGATACAATTAGTTGGGAGAGAGTTTATACGAGGGGTGTACAGCAACCAGAAGTGAGGATGTCTGTCTAATCTCGGGAGAATAGTAATTATTCACTTGCAGTGACGGTCTCACATGCAGCTGGTTACATCCCCTAAAGTTTATAATAATACACCAGGGAGGGCAATGTATCCCCGCACCGACAATGCATGTACTAATAGGGTTTTCCCCTTTTTTCTGGCAACAAAAACTGACACCTTTTGTGAGGAATCATGCTTACATTAACCACAATACTTGCAGTCAAATGCGGAGGAGAAGAATGATGTAGCTGCTCACCCCGAGCTCTCATTACTCTGGTAGTGCGTTGTCTTTGAACTGTGCGCCTTTTGGCGTCATCTGGTCGAACACCATATGAGACCAGGCTCTAAAGAAAGCTGTCTCTGGTGTGGACCAATCAGTTTCAAAGACAATGGATAAATTATCAGAGTATTGTTTTTTGTTTGCATTTGACTGCAAGTATTGTGGTTAATGTAAGCATGATTCCTTGCAAAAGGTGTCAGTTTTTGTTGCCAGAAAAAAGGGGAAAAACCCTATTAGTATATTTTGATACTGGCAAAGGAGGTCCCATGAAATGTATGTACTCTTGAGCAACTGTGGAAACCTGTTCAGACGATTGCAATGGAGTAACCCGTTCTGTTTTTGAAAAAGTTTTATTCAAACAGTATCCTTTGATCGCCGCTGAATCCGACTCCTTTTGGAAGTTGCGATTCCAATTTACCCACGAGAGGGAGCCGCGATCAGATTTGTCCGGATTTGGGTAACTCGATGTTTTTGTTTCCCCCCCCCCCGCCCGCCACTGGAGAAGGATGTGGCTATGCTCGGACATCAAGAGAGCCGGCAATGTCGAGATCCTGGATTAGAAGCCTCGCGATTTAATCTCGTTCCAGTCTCGCGAGTCGATGGGTTTCTCAGCTCAAGTCGCCGATGGCTGCACAATAAAAACCTTGACAGTAAATTTGATTTCGCGCTTAATTTCTTTTTTAAAAAATCCAGCTTTGAGAATTAACATATCGGCTCGACTGTCATGTGGTGAGCCTCATTCTCATATGCAGGCCGAGTGGGAAAGTGCCTGCCTTCTACTGGAAGGAATCTCAGCGGCATCTCCGTGATATCCACTTCCACAGGCCCTTATTTAACCACAAAGGGCTGCACACTTCTTTGCCAGAGATCCGATTGAATACTTAATCTCTTGATGCGACACCGACGGTACAATCGATGGGGAATTTCATTTACGAAAGATGAAAGAATACTTTTGTTACAATGGAAAATGGTGCGGCAATGATTGCCCTGGCGCCAAGGGAGCTACATGTAAACTACCTCGTCTGTTTTGCGAGGTAGTTAACGCGTGTATGTTTGGAGTTTGCATGTTCTCCCCGTGGTCTTGTGGATTTTCCTCCTGGGCCCTCCGGTTTTTCCCCTCCATATTTAGAATCGTCCATCGTGCGTTGAGAGAATTTGGCTGCAAAACATTTCCACGTGATAAGCCACTTGGTTGAGCTTTCATTTGTGGCCAGATCACTTCTGAAACTGAGCTATATAGCTCAGCGGGCCTTACCTGGTCACATAAATTGTTTAATTGTTTAATAAGCGTTGGTGGACATGCAAATTCCAATAATGCGCGATCGATGGAAAACACGATTCAAACGCACAGCACCTCTGAATGCGCCTTGTGTAAAAAAAATTATATATGAAAAAATGTGGTGCTTGCATTACCGTTTGGGAGCCGTAACGGAGTAATAATGCCACGTTACCGGCGCACGGTAGCGTCGTCGTGCGTTGAGGGGCTTCCGCATGACACGTGCGTGCGTGCGGTGGCGTTCAAAAATTTCAACGCACAAAGGTGAAGATTTGGGGGACGTGGACGTACGTTGAATACATCTTAAGTAAATATCATTACGGCTAGAAACAACATCAGTAGATTTCGATTTAAAGCTTTCGTGACTGCAGGGATTCATCTTCTTGGTTCTTTCGGTAAAGTCACGTAGAAGGGAAGTAATAAAATAATGAGGACGGCTGCTTGCGTTGTGGCCGAAACGTCGTGATAATTATTTTATTGTTTTATTTTTATTATTTTATTACTTCCCTTCTACGTGACTTTACCGAAAGAACCAAGAACATCAGTAGACCCCGTGAAATATATTTATATATTTGTATTTGTTGTCGTGCAATTTTGGGGGGTCGTTTTCAATTTCCCCACGCGTATTTTGCCCCCTGCCAGTTTATATTTTCAGAAAACCCCGAGACTTTGGGTGCTCTTTTTATCGTGCGATTTATTCCACGGAGGAACCCGGGCGGCTCAAGAAATAAAACTTGCGGGGGGGGGAGCGTCTTGTGAGTCCCGAGCTCAGTGGCGACAGCCGGAGGCGCACGGAGTTGAGAGATGGGGGGGGGGGGGGGGTACGTGCGGGAAGCCGAATCACGGCACGCAATAAAATTGGAATTTTGGCTTAAGATGCCAGGCTGTGTTGTCAGTATCTAATCGAAACATGACAACTCTGCGCGTGCATTGTTAAATGTAAAAACCTTTATTTGCAACAACAAAAACCTGTGGTGGGACCTTTTAGATTTCCCTAGAACGTGCTTTCTACTGAAGCAAACTAAATGTTCTCAAATTGTCAGAGCGCTTAATGAGGCTGTTTATCAACGGAATCTGTGGGGAGATTTATACTATTTATGCTATGTAGCGTAGGGATTTAAGCGGCTGTGCCAAAGTTGTAAGGTTATTTTTAGACTCTGAAGCAACTTAAAATACGTCGACGATTTATTTCCCTGCATTGTTTCATAACGTGGCCACCGCGCCAATACTTTTTGACGGTTTCCAGTTCCTGTCTATTATGCATAAGCCAGCGTATTGTTGAAGGGATTCTAAAATGTAATTTGCCGTGACTTCATTAAGACGCATATGCCCTTGGCCACGTTGGAGCGAGTTTTACCTGGCACCGTCGGTGAGAAAAATTTTCTCGCGAAGAAAAGCCGGGAAAACAAAAACCAGCCCCCCTCGCAAAACAAACAAATCAAGAGTTTGCAAATGAAACTCTTTTCTCGCGAGCACGTTAGAGAGCGAGCGAGAGCGAGCGCCTGGCCCATCGCTGTTAATTTGGGCAGCCGTCGAAATGAACGCGGAGGCGGTGGGTGATGGGCTGCCAAGTGTCCCCGATTAATAATTAATGCGTTGCGTAACAGTTACATTATTTTTTCCAAAGACCAGAGCTCCCGTTAAGACGAGATGAAATCACCTGCCCCTAATTAGCTCTGACTTAGTGTGCCTAATTAGAGGCCACGTCTCAAGAACCAGTTCTGTGTTTCACATTGCTTGGCCCTTTCACCAACGCATATTAAAAAATAAACGTCCGTTCCGAAGGAAGCCCCAAGCGGTATTGTCTCCGCTGGTTTACAGCGCAGGCTTGCAGCAGGCACAGCTGACCCCACAGTGGCAGGGGGGGGGGGCGGTGATGGGGGGGCGATCGTCCCCAGCCCTCCTCCCCCTGGAAAGTTTCTAGATCCACCTCTGGCTCAGCACGTGGTTGCCGGTCGGTTGTGGTGGTGCGCCAACATGTAATCTCCACTACCTTTGGGAAGTAAGATTTGGTGGGTCCGCCTTTTGGCGTCATCTGGTCCAACCCATGTGAGACTAGGCTCTAAGGAAAGCTGTCTCGGGTGTGGACCAATCAATTTCAAGGACAGTGCACATTATCAGAGTTGTGTTTTTTGTTTGCGTTACGACTGCAGGTATTGCGATCTATGCAAACATGACTCCTTGTAAAAAGGTGTCAGTTTTGTTGCCAGATAAAGGGTAAAAAAAACAATTATCATATTTTTACTGGCAAATGAGGTTCCAATGGTGGGTCCATACAAATGTTTAGATTTCACCGTGGGCATATGAGACAACCCATGCTGCTTGGACTGCAAAGAAGCCGGTCGAGGGCGGGGATGTAGATGGAGAGCGGCGACGTAGTTGGAAAGTGACGCGACAGTTCTCATGACATTACACCAATAGCAACGTTGGAATGCAGCGGTGGAGAATTATACTGGAAGGAACCACCTGGTTCCACCAGCCCACAGGGGATTATTGTGTCCGTCCGTTGTGCATCCATAAATGGGAGGGGTCAGGCTGGGTGGAGAGGGGAGGGTGGGGGGAGGCTGGGTGGGGATGGTGGGCTGGGTGGGGAGGGGCTGGGTGGGGAGGGGCTGGGTGGGGAGGGGCTGGGTGGGGAGGGGCTGGGTGGGGAGGGGCTGGGTGGGGAGGGGCTGGTCACCCCGTGGTGCCCTTATAAAACTCAACGTTTAACCTACTCACGCCAGCTTGTGCCCGCCCTCGCAGTCGGGCATATTTGCGGAATACACCACGTCGCCGTTGACCCTGGCCATTGACCGAGCAACCCAACGTTCCTACCAGCTCCCTCCGCAGGAGGAATGTGTTCGGATTCAACATTCCTCTTGCCAGCTGCATCGGGAGGCAAACAATTTGTTTTTAAGTTTATCACCGAGCTCGTCATCTTGCATGCCAACAAAAGTACCCTGCAATGCACGCCTTTTGTGGGTGTTATTTTCTGTCAATAAACAAGCAACTTGGGATTCAACTGTAGTCATCATGAGTGTGCAGCTGGTGTTACTATTGTACCTGGGCCCACAGACCAGAAGGGGGCCAGGTGCTGTGCGACGTTTGTGGGCTGGATCCTGACCCCAACACCTGCTGTACATGTGCAGTTTGTGTCGCTCATCATCACGGTGGCTCGGAGCCGTTAACCACCTCACCTGGTTTTCAGGTCTTGGGTTCTATCCCGACATATTTGGAGTTGTGCGTGTCTCTGTCATCACTGTGGCTTGGAGATGTTAACTACCTCGCCTGCTATGCAGGAGGTCGTGGGTGCAATACCGACCCTGATGCCTGCTGTATATTTGAATGTGCATGTCTCTTGCTCTCCCTGTGGTCACGTAGATTCATCTCAGGGTCCTCCGTTTTTTCCTCCACATTTAGAATCAACGTCACGCGTTTAAGAGTATTTGGATGCTATACATTTCCACGTGATGGACCACTTTGTTGTCGTTTGTGGGCATGGTCACTTCTAAAAAAGAGCTCAGTGGGTCTTACCTGGTAAAATAGTTTAGTTTATGAAGTGGGTTGTAGGAAATGGATGGGGGGGCAAATTCCATGCCGTTTAGTGCAGGGGAAACATGTCCTGACCCCGCATGGTAGCCTAATGTTCCATGGCATGCACTCGTAATATTCTTGACGCCGTGTGTTGATTTAATATTATTAATGCTTGGTGTCATTCCCAGGGTGAGAAAGATAACATTCTCACACGGCTTAGAAAAGTAAAACTTTGCTTAAGTAATGACGGTGGCTGACTTGACCTCTTTCGCTTGCAAATCTGTCATTGAAGTGCCGCGAGACGCGGAAGGTCGGTGACGGGAACCGCGGGCCTGCCTGCGTGCGTGCGTGCATGCGCGCTGTCACGCGCCTCGAAAAAATCGAGGGGTTTTGAAGGAAAATGCTCTTCAGAGATGCCACGCCAGCGGCGCAGGGCAGGAGGAAAAGAGGGGTGGGGAGGCTTGATGAGATGGCAGGTGGTGATGGAAAGGACAAATCGACATTGATGATTGGAGAGGAGGCACAGGAGCATTGTGGAGAAGGAACGCGTGAGCAGCTGACCCAGTTTTTATTCGTGTTAATCATTTCGTTGCGTGTTAATAATTTCCATACGTGTTATTGTCTTTATATTTGCTATGATGCGTGCACAAATGGGACCTTGAAAATGAGATTGGGTGCCTCTGTGTGTTACCTCGCTGGATATTCTTGCTATGCTTATCTACCCAGGCAAGGCTGGCTGAGTCCCCAGACTTTTTTAAAATCCTTTATATTAAGTTCGCTTGCTTGCGTGCTTGCTTACGACCGTGCAAACATTTCGGTCGTTTTTTAACCCACTTCCCGTGATCCAATCGAGCTGACATTTTGCACACAGACTCGTTGTGCGAGACAATTAATGTTCGTGAAATTTTTTTTCCAAAATTTTACACTGTTTAGGGAAAACAAATTAAATATTTAATTACCAATTGTTTAATACTGCAGACAATCATCTGACCCATAGGTGGCAGCCATCTCAAGCCAGAGGACGAGAGGACTCTAGCCGCCACACATATAAAGGATTTATAGTGAGAAACTTTGTTTTTACGGGTTATACTTTTTTTAGAGGTTCTGCCAAAGCTTTTGTGCAGTTGGTGCTACCGTGTTGCTGCTTTGCGTGTAATTACAATCGAGTCATTTGCGGGTTTAGCATTGGGATGTTTTTGACAATACCATTGGGGGTTTAGCTATGGGAGGAGACCGGAGAATCCATGCAGAACAGTGGGAGAACGTACAAACTCCACACCACACACACACTGCAGAGTGAGGGGAGGTGGTGCCTGGATTTTTGTTTCTGAAGATCCAGTGTTGGTTTTGCACGGCCCTGAATTTGATCAACATCTAGACAACTGTGACGTGAAGACATTTTTTGCGTTGCATGTTGAACGACTTTCGCACGTAGCCAGCCGTGCCAACCGGAGGTTGCCGTCAGCATAAAAGGCGCCCCAGTCAGGAATCAAACTTACGCACCCTCTTCCTCGCAAGGAAACGAATGAAAATGTTTTCAAATAAAACTCTGCTCTGGAGTTCAGGAGCATGGGTGTGCCCGCCCATCGCTATTAATTAGGGCGCAAGTGTCATCACAACCCACACGTATGATGCACATTCAGGATGTTGTAACAGGCTCAACACGGTGACCGATGGATTCAGGAAATGTCTTGTCACTGGGTGGGGGAGGCTGCTACTGTCTGGATGGGAACCCACTGTGACTTGGTAACAACAGCAGCAATGCCCTTTCCTCCCCCCCCCCCACTCTCTCCTTTGTATCGCAGATGACCGTGGAAGCTGGGAGGTCGCACCTCACCACCACGAGGGTGCGGTGTGCGATCGATTCGAAGAATAATCTGCAAAAGTTGTTTTTTTCTTCTGTTAAAGTTTTCTTTCTCAGTGTTCGTTCATTTTTACAACTTTAAACCCCAGTGTAAAAGATTGGTTTTTTTTCTGGTTCAGTTTTGTGTAACTTCGGAAATGACTCAAATAAAAGACGTAACTTCAGTCGGTGAGCCACAACTTTATGGTTTGAACGTTTCCTTGTTTCAAGTCACATTTTCCATCAAAGGGGGCGACAACCTTGGCCCAACACCACAAACAAACACACAGCGGCATTGTTCATTCTCTTCAAGCACAACAAAGTGTCTTAACGTTGGGGGGGGGGGGAGAGCCTTGCGCATACAGTATCTAACTCACGAATGACATGGCTTGGCAGGGAGAAAAAAACTGAATTCACAAGAGCGTGCAATAACTTGTGCGGGGCGAGAGCAGCTACTTTGCCTGTGGTTACGTTTGATTTTATTTCCCCGTTTGAGCACCCACCCGGAAGGGGGGGAAAAACCACGTCTAATGAAATCCATTGCAGACCGCAGAAATGTGTTTTACGTTTCACCTTAGGACCCCCAAAGGATTATCGCGGAGAGCGAAATAAATACAAACGAGTGGTCAGGGGAGGCTTGTCTTAACAAGCTGTGCCGGGCAGGTTTAAATGTTAAACCGCGCCGTCCGGTTTACAGAGGCAGCTGGAAATTTACATCCACATTGGCTTGTCTGGCGATGGACACGATCTCGGACAGCTTGACAACCTGCGAAGTCAAAGGGGGGGGGGGGGGGGGGGGGAGCAGGTTAAACACGGATGTGGATTTGTCGCCGGAGCCGTCTGACCTCCGCCCTCCTCCAGAGCCCAACATCCGCTGCGCCCTCGGACACGAGAGCTCCAAGAGCTGCCCGAATCGTGTCCTCACAACCGTCTCTCTTGCGTGGTTGTCGGAATTCTTGGAAACCATTCCAATACAGTTCTTGCTCTCCCCTCCCCCCCCCCTATCCTGTACATAACACGTGTCTTACCCAGTGCAACATTTTTTTTGCCTCAATCTATCTACACCACTCGTATGCATCTTCTTGGTTCTTTTCGGTAAAGTCATGTAGAAGGGAAATAATAAAAATAAAACAATATACTATTCTCACGACGTTTCGGCCACAACGCAAGCCGCCGTCCTCAGGTGAAGAACAGGTCTGTCGGAAAGACAGCGTCTGAATGAACACCACCAAGCTTGGCAGCGTATATTTAAGCTGGGTTAGAGGAAGGGCGCCTTGACAAAGGAATTGGAAAATGCAGATATGGGATTAGTCACTACTTGTGGAATGCATAGGTGGGGGGGGGGGGGGTTAAATATACGCTGCCAAGCGTGGTGGTGTTCATTCAGACGCTGTCTTTCCGACAGACCTGTTCTTCACCTGAGGGACGGCTGGCTTGTGTTGTGGCCGAAACGTCGTGAGAATTGTCTTTATTATGTTTTATTATTTCCCTTCTACGTGACTTTACCGAAAGAACCAAGAAGATGAATCCCTGCAGTCACTAAAGCTTTAAATCGAAATTTAGAGTATAGCTCTCTGATGGAAACAGTAATAGGGACAATAGCACTCTCATATAAATTACCTTTTGAATTAAATTACACACCGGGAACATTCTATTTTAGGCCATGCTCAGAAGCAGAACATCATTGACTGACTGTGACCAAATGAAAAACCGCACCTCCGATTCGCACGGTTGGCTACGTACGGTGCAAAAGAAATTCAACGTACGGACATTTACAATCACGGCTTGAGGGTCGGGTTTTTTTTTTGCTGGATTATTTTAAAACGATCACACAAGCACACCAATTCAACTTCTGTAAACAATCGCTTGCGGAGGAAAATCGTCCGGCTCGCGTTAAACGCGCCCGCAAACGAAACGGGGCAAGCGAACGGTTATTCGCGCGTGCGTGCGTACGCGCGCATCTATAATTCGCATTCCCGCAAAAATTTCCGAGACAGATGCTCTCAGCCGGCACAGCAGGTGCCGAAACACAATCTCTGAGATGGAGGAAGAGGAGGAGGCGGGGGGCGGGGGGGGCAATAAGTAAACAAACGGCGGTGGAATAGCGATGTTAGCAGCATAATCCATTTACAAACGGGACCCCCACCCCTTCCTTACGCCGAAACGAGTTTGTGCTCTGCCACTCCAATACATTTACTTTTCCCCCCACCTCTCTCGTTCAAGGTATCGATAAGCTCGACTGCGCGAGGGCGTTCGTGTTTTTGTAAACGGTCTCGCGGACGTCGGCACTTGCTTACAGCGGCGAAGGTACAGCGGGGGATTGCTGCTCTGGGAGCAAATGAGAAGTTGCAGGCGGGATCGACCCCCACCCGAGACGGAGGAAGAGAGACGGGAGCGTTTCCTCACCATTTTAGCAGCTTCGTCCAAGTCGTCGCATGCCAGGATCTTCAGGCTGCTCGCCGCAATGATCGCCTTGGCGTCGTCCACTTGAGTTCCTGTGACATCGACCGAGTGGAGAATGGCACGCGCCTCCGTGTGAAGCACTCGCCCCCCGCTGTCTTCCCCTCCCACGGCGGCCGATTATTACCGCACGGGAATTTTGAATCCGTACTAAATTGTCGCGTACGCACAGTTGCAATTCAATCCCCTAAGTGCGACGGCTGCGATTATGTAACGCGGCCTTGGAAAAGGGGGAAGTTGCAAACAAACTTTGCTTGCCTTCTTGGTTCTTTCGGTAAAGTCACGTAGAAGGGAAATAATAAAAATAAAACATAATAAAATAATTCTCACGACGTTTTGGCCACAACGCAAGCAGACGTCCTCAGGTGAAGAACAGGTCTGTCGGAAAGACAGCGTCTGAGCTTGCGTTGTGGCCGAAACGTCGTGAGAATTGTATTTTATTATGTTTTATTTTAATTATTTCCCTTCTACGTGACTTTACCGAAAGAGCCAAGAAGATGAATCCCTGCAGTCACGAAAGCTTTAAATCGAAATTTAAACTTTGCTTGGTGTTGTTGGAGTTACCACCCCCCTCCCCGAGTGGATATAATCCGTGAATAAATAAACAAGCTTCTCGATCAAAAAGTACGGCACTTTTAAAATTCTCAAAGCAAGGCAGATTTGTAGCACATCTTCTCAATTTGCTGCTGCAAATGAAATTGGCCGAATTCATAATGACGCACGTTACTTTTCACAGCGACGGTTGATTGCCGATCCGGATACTCGCCGATTCAGTCCGGTCACTCGTGCCCATGTCACCCTTCTGTCGCTACTACCACGGTCACTCTTGCCCATGAACCTCACTCATCGATTCCTCCACTCGTGTTGAGGACTATGTCTCCCGGACTGATTCTTTCCTCTCATCCATACTGTGTTCAACCACCACCACCGCAGGGCAAGACATCTCTTCCCGCTCCTTTCCCTGCTCACAATGCTTAGCTTTGGAATCCCCTCCCGTCAACGTGTTTTGTGTGTATGTTGAACGTATTTCGCACGGTAGGTAGCCAACTGTGCTAATCGGAAGCGCAGGGGAAAGACAACAAACTATGGGTCTCTGTGTGAGTCTATGGGTCTCTGTGAGTCTGTGGGTCTCTGTGTGAGTCTGTGGGTCTCTGTGTGAGTCTGTGGGTCTCTGTGTGAGTCTATGGGTCTCTGTGTGAGTGTGGGTCTCTGTGTGAGTCTATGGGTCTCTGTGTGAGTCTGTGGGTCTCTGTGTGAGTCTGTGGGTCTCTGTGTGAGTCTGTGGGTCTCTGTGTGAGTCTGTGGGTCTCTGTGTGAGTCTGGGTCTCTGTGGGAGTCTGTGGGTCTCTGTGTGAGTCTGTGGGTCTCTGTGTGAGTCTGTGGGTCTCTGTGTGAGTCTATGGGTCTCTGTGTGAGTCTATGGGTCTCTGTGTGAGTCTATGGGTCTGTGTGAGTCTATGGGTCTCTGTGTGAGTCTATTGGTCTCTGTGTGAGTCTATTGGTCTCTGTGCGAGTCTATGGGTCTCTGTGTGAGTCTATGGGTCTCTGTGAGTCTATGGATCTCTGTGTGAGTCTATGGATCTCTGTGTGAGTCTATGGGTCTCTGTGTGAGTCTGTGGGTCTCTGTGTGAGTCTATGGGTCTCTGTGTGAGTCTATGGGTATCTGTGCGAGTCGATGGGTCTCTGTGCGAGTCTATGGCTCTCTGTGCGAGTCTATGGGTCTCTGTGCGAGTCTGTGGGTCTCTGTGCGAGTCTGTGGGTCTCTGTGCGAGTCTGTGGGTCTCTGTGCGAGTCTGTGGGTCTCTGTGCGAGTCTGTGGGTCTCTGTGTGAGTCTATGGCTCTCTGTGTGAGTTTATGGGTCTCTGTGTGAGTCTATGGCTCTCTGTGTGAGTCTATGGCTCTCTGTGTGAGTCTATGAGTCTCTGTGTGAGTCTATGGGTCTCTGTGTGAGTCTATGGGTATCTGTGCGAGTCTGGGTCTGTGTGAGTCTATGGGTCTATGTGTGAGTCTATGGCTCTCTGTGTGAGTCTATGGGTCTCTGTGTGAGTCTATGTGTCTCTGTGTGAGTCTATGGCTCTCTGTGTGAGTCTATGGGTCTCTGTGTGGGTCTCTGTGTGAGTCCATGGGTATCTGTGTGGGTCTCTGTGTGAGTCTATGGGTCTCTGTGTGGGTCTCTGTGTGAGTCTATGGGTATCTGTGCTAGTCGATGTGTGTATGTTGAACTTCTTTCATGTTAGCCAACCGTGCTAATCGTAGACACAAACAGCTGGTGGAAGCTTGGGGTCGAATGTCACGGACACGTTCAGACTTTTGTGATTAACCCTTTTCTGACGGAAGAAAAAAAATCAAATAACTTCATCGGTACCGAGGCTCCCACAAGACCATGGCGGGAGGGTGTGTAGGCACAGTTTGTCCTCATAGTGACATTGTCATTGTGCTGGTCGCCTTGTGGCGTCCTCTGGTCTAACACTGTTTGAGACTTGGCTCTAAAGAAAGTTGTCTCTGGTGTGGACCAATCAGTTTCAAAGACAATGCATCATCATAGACTACCAGAGCATGTTCACCCCCAAGTGTGTGTGGTTAATGCAGACACGATTCCTTGCAAAAGGTTTCAGTTTGGTGTTCTAACATCTTAACACAACTGCTTTAATTCTAGATTTGAAGCTTTCGTGACTGCAATGATTCATATTCTTAGGTTTTTTCGGTAAAGTCACGTAGGTAAAACATCAAAATTAATAAAAAATAAAATAAAGATCACGACGTTTCAGAGGCTGCCTCCACGAAACGTCGTGATCTTTATTTTATTTTTATTAATTTTGATGTTTTACCTACGTGACTTTACCGAAAAAACCTAAGAATACAACTGCTTTATTGCCAGAAAGGGTAAAACCTATTCTTAGATCTATCATAGAGTGGCGGTCTCGTCGCTACAACGGCGCAACTACGCCTCTCTAAATGAAGTTAACGCTAACCGCTTGCGCATCCCGAGATTCAGCGGTGGACTTGCAGACCGTCTCGGAACGGGAAAGGGGTTTTAAGTTATTCCAAACAAATTTCTACATATTTGGCGATGGGATCTTCCGACCAAAGTCACATTCAACCAAAACCGCACCCATTTTTAAATCCTTTATATTAAGTTCGCTTGCGTGCTTGCTTGCTTGCTTGCTTGCGACCGTGCAAACCTTTCGGTCGTTTTTTAACCCACTTCTCGTGATCCAATCGAGCCGACAATTTGCACACAGACTCGTTGTGCGAGACAATTAATGTTCGTGAAAATTTTTTTCCAAAATTTTACACTGTTTAGGGAAAACAAATTAAATATTTAATTACCAATTGTTTAATACTGCAGACAATCATCTGACCCATAGGTGGCAGCCATCTCAAGCCAGAGGACGAGAGGACTCTAGCCGCCACGCATATAAAGGATTTAGAGTGAAAAACTTTGTTTTTACGGGTTATACTTATTCCTGTTGATTATCCCCCTTGGCACCGGAGTTTTAACGTTCAATCGTCGATGTGAATCGTCCGCGGCCGGGGAGTCGCGTACCTTGCAAGCGAACGACGATTGGCACTCGCAGGTTGAGCTCCTTCGCCGCGGCGATGATGCCCTGAGCGATGATGTCGCAGCGCATGATCCCGCCAAAGATGTTCACCAGAATGGCCTGGACCTACAGGAGCCAAGGGTTAGGGTTTGGGGGGGGTGGGGAAAAAAGTCACGGCAAGTTCAATTTGTTTGACCGGGTGAGACAAGTCCACAGACCGGGATGGTATCATTTTGCAAGGGTGACTCTGGGTAACGAGGCATGAACGTAGCGTGGCCGGGCGGCTGCAGGTGCCATACGAAGCCCTTGCACGGAGCATACGAGCCACGGCCAATCCACTGCTGGATGAAGGCCTCGCAAGCTGGCCATCATTCAGAGGTTGGGCTCATTTGTAGCGTAATGTACCCACGACGATTAAACTTTGCAAGTTCTTAACAAAAGTTTACATCGACACCAAGTCTCCGCGATCGCGTCGAGTCCAGATACACTCTTGATGTTATCATCGTCGTCGTCGTCGTCATCATCCGTGACCGACTGCTGGATGAAGAAGCCTTCCCCCCAAGCCATCGCAAAATCTCACGGTCCCGCAACGGAACGATCCGCCTAGCAGCTGCGTAATTTGCTAGATTTCGCAGTTCCATCTCGACGGTCGGATCTCCTCCCGGGACGAGTTTCTCTCCTCTTTGGGCTGCCGCACCGTCGTTAAGTCTCGGACCGCCGGCCGTCGTCGCTTGCGACGAACGCGTCTGCCCCAGGCGCACTTGTCTTGGCAGTCGATGGCACGCGTTTAGGCGCACGTATTCTGTGTTTACGTGTGTTCAAAAAAATCCTCGGTGAAGAAACAAAACTGCTCGAGTGTTTTCAGGGCCGATGCGTTGACGCGCGATGCGCTGACGTGCACTCGTGGAGTGGTCGACGATGAAAGACGTAGACGCGTCGGGTCGAGCGAACGACAAGGGGATGCACACACGAACAGAACACATTTAGAATCGACGTCGCGCGTATTTGGCTGCTGATGTAAGTTTCCACACGGTGGATAAGCCGCTTGGTTGAGCTATCGTTTGTGGGCACGTCGCTTCTGAAAAAGAGCAATATAGCTCAGTGGGCCGCACCTGGTAAAATAAAAATCTTCGCAGAGTCTAAGCCACTTAGTAGTGGTTTTAAGCATAAGAATGGAGAGTATGTAACATAATACTGGTCAACACACTTTTTCTGGCATAAGGTAGTCCAACGGTTAAGGTAATTTTGGGGTGCTGATTCCAAATCTGGCATCAGTTTTTGTCTATCACATCAGGTTTTTGAGATATCAAATATTGCATTTTCAATACAAACTGCAGAAGAAAATATTAAATGAATGTGGATATCTACATAAAATTATATTATAAACACACTATCCTAAAAATACAGCACCATATTTTAACACTAAAGCAGTCACTGTCACTTATGATTGCAAGTTGTTGCGAGTCAGAGTTAATTTTGGGTAAAATCAATGAAAATGGGGTATGCCGATAGCATAAAATGAGATGTGATAGAGCAAATCTGAGATCAGATTTGGAATCGGCACCCTGAAATTAGTCTAGAACAGCTGCAAAAGTCCAGGCCAGAAAAAAAAGTTTTTTTTTTGTTGACCAGTGTATAATTTGAAAGCTTAATGGTTGATTAGACCATCCCAACGTTCTCATGGGGAACAAGATGACGGTCTTCGGTTAATCACGCAGTTAATTAAAAATGTATATTTCAATTGTCCTCATGTCAAGTTTCCCTTCAGAATTCTCAAGGAAGTGGTGACGAGAGGAGAATATCTTATCTGACAAACATGACAAACAGCTGATGGACAAAAAAACCAGACCAGTCATCCTCGTGTTAAAAGTTAACAGCCCTTTGTCAATCCACTGCTAGATGAAGGCCTCTTTGCAATGTCAATCCACAGGGGTTTGCCTCTGAACCAACTTCACCATGCCGTTCATTGCGGGTCCGTGCAAGACCATTTGGGATACATCACGCGCCATTCATTGTTCGCCGTGACCTGATCAGAACCTGACCTTGTAACCTCTCGATCACGTGCCCCTTAACCAGTGCCATCTGGCCAGTCCGGTACGGGAGTGCAAAGCAAATTATGTTTGTTCACATTAGACGGCGATCATTAACCGCGAATGGTTCATTGATTGCGCCATCGATGCCCGAACCGCCAAGTCGACGTTAATTCCTAGCTTCTAAGAGACAAACGGTTCTCGTAGACGTGGGCAGGGTGGGGGGGGGGGGAGAGGCTGCGTGTCCCAGGCTGTCCCGCAACGAACTCTGAAGCTTCATTACTGAGAAGAAGAAGAAAAAAAGAACTCTGCTCGTGGTCAGGCGTGCGATTGTCGAGCGGTCCGGTGGTCTCATTACAGCGACGATCGGAATCGTACTGAAGTGGCAGTCACAGCGACGATCATTAAAATCGCTTTAATAGCGCATCGGAGGGTAATGTTCCGGCATTTTTTTCTGTTTCTTTTTAGCGAGGCTTCAAACCCATGCAGGGCAGCCCCAGGACACGGGCCTAGAGCTACGCCTGTGCTCTCGTCTCTGGCTCACTCGCTTTTTGTTGTCGATCGCATCATTTTTAAACACAACGCGTGTTGTTGCGCCCGTACGCACACACGCGCCTTCACGACATTAGCACAGCGGTCGACGCGCGCATCACACCGCGACCCCAACCCACCCGCCCCGCCCCACTCACCCCACACCCCCACCCTGCCCCCCCCACCCCCCCACCCCGCCACCCCCCCGCCCCACCCCCCCCGCCGACATCGAGTTACATTCCTAACCCGCAAAACGTCGCCCCCGAATCATCCGAATCTTAATCCCCCGGGGGCGTCTTCCCCGACGTCGAGAGCAGCGGCCTCGCACCTTGGAGTCGGAGGTGATGAGCTTGAAGGCCTCCGTCACCTGCTGCGCCGTGGCCCCGCCACCCACGTCGAGGAAGTTGGCGGGCAGCCCGCCGTGCAGCTTGATGATGTCCATCGTGGCCATGGCCAGGCCAGCGCCGTTCACTGCGACGACAAACGGCCAAGCCCGGCGCTTTCGTTAGGGGCCGCCACGGTGGCCAGGAGATGTTTGGGGTAGTGATAGGAGATGTTAACTACCTAGCTTGGTATACAGAAGGTCGTGGGTTCGTTCCTGACCAGGACACCTGCTCTAAGTTTGGAGTCTGCGTGTCTCTCTCATCATCACGGTGGCGCGGAGATGTTAACTACCTCGCTTGGTGTACAGGAGGTCGTGGGTTCGATCCTGACCAGGACACCTGCTCTAAGTTTGGAGTCTGCGTCTCTCTCATCATCATCATGGTGGCACGGAGATGTTAACTACCTCGCCTGGTATACAGGAGGTCGTGGGTTCGATCCTGACCAGGACACCTGCTGTATATTTGGATTCTGCGTGTCTCTCATCATCATCACAGTGGCGTGGAGATGTTAACTACCTCACCTGGTATACAGGAGGTCGTGGGTTCGATCCTGACCAGGACACCTGCTCTAAGTTTGGAGTCTGCGTGTCTCTCTCATCAATTTTTCCCTCCACATGGTCGAATCGACGTGCGCTTTAGATTATTTACAGTATTTGGCCGCTGTAAATCTCCACACGACGACAAGCCCACTTCGTTGAGCTTTCATTTGTGGTGTCCAGGTCGGTGCTGAAAATGAACTATGCAGCACAGTCAGCCTTATTTGGTATTTTTTTTTTATTATTATAGTAAAACCTTGGATTGCAAGTAACTTGGTCTGGGAGTGTTTTACACGACGAGCAAATTTTTAAAATAAAAATTAATTTGATAAACGAGCGAGGTCTTGCAACACGAGTAGTACGTGTATACGCTTTGTCTGCCGAGCGTCACGTGATCACAACTGATATACGAGTGCTTTGGATTACAAGCACGTTACCGGAACGAATAATGCTCGCAATCCAAGGTTTCACTGCATATATATTGCACTTTTTTCGCATCGTACGTAGCCAACCGTGCTAATCGATAGGTGCGGGAGCGCGGGAGGGGAATGACAACAAACTGAACGCACAGTCAAAAGGTAGACTCGTGTGTTGCGGTTGGGTCGTGGCAAAAATTTGCGTGCGTGAGCGACATTCAAGGACCCGGGATCGCAGTGCCAACAAACCGAACACAAAAAGCAGTCCTAAAGAAATGAGTTCTTAATCTAGATTTAAAAGTGCATAGCTACCAGACGCTTCCTAATAATAATAATAGTAAATTTCGATTTAAAGCTTTCGTGACTGCAGGGATTCATATTCTTGGTTCTTTCGCTAAAAGTCACGTAGAAGGGAAATAATAAAATAATAAACATAAAACATTTTAAAAATTCTCACGACGTTTCGATTGCAACACATGCAATCATCATCAGGTGTGAAAACGACAGCAAGAACATTTGAAAAAAGTGGTGACGATTGCTTGTGTTGCAATCGAAACGTCGTGAGAATATTATTGTTTTATTTTTATTATTTTATTCTTAGGTTTTTTCGGTAAAGTCACGTAGGTAAAAAATTTAAATTAATAAAAGTAAAATAAAAATAAAATAAAATAAAAATCACGACGTTTCGGAGGCAACACAAGCTTCCGTCTTCAGGTGGAACCGTCACAGCCCGACAGCTGTATCAAGTAAATGAGAGATTACAAGAGATACCACTCCGTATATATAATGGTTTCCCTTCTACGTGACTTTACCGAAAGAACCAAGAACATAATAACAATATAATAACAATAGTTTTTTAGACTCTGTCTTATCGACAGACATGTTCTTCACCTGAGGACGGCTGCTTGCGTTGTGGCCGAAACGTCGTGAGATTTATTTTATTATGTTTTATTTTTATTATTTTATTACTTCCCTTCTACGTGACTTTACCGAAAGAACCAAGAAGATGAATTCCTGCAGTCACGAAAGCTTTAAATCGAAAAATAGTCGTCGTCGTCGTCGTAGTCAATAGTTACCCAGGCAGCCGATGTTTCCGTCGAGGCCGATGTAGTTGAGGTTGGCTTGCGCCGCCTGCACGTCACGTGCGTCCTCCTGGCTCCAGTCGCGCATCGAGAAGACGCGCTCCTGACGGTACGCCGCGTTGGCGTCAAAGTTGATCTTCGCGTCCATGCACATGACTGTCGGCCACGTGGGGGGGGGAGGGAGACGAGACAGACAATCCCCCTACGTCACAAGTTGATCTTCGCGTCCATCCACGAGGGGTAGTGACAGGGGAGGGACCTCGCTGGGGGGGGCGGGGGCAGGCAGTAGCAGTAGCAGGATGATGATGACGATGATGCTGTGCTAGGGGAGAAGAGTTGGGGGTTGTTTTAAGTGAGCAACGTGAGCAGGTTAAGATGGTTGCTTCATATGGGGCGGCATAGCGACCGCATCTTCATGAGGCTCATCATGGGTTGATGGTGGCGATGGCGGCGATGATGGCGATGGCGGCGATGGCGGCGATGGCGGCGATGGCGGCGATGGCGGCGATGGCGGCGATGGCGGCGATGGCGGCGATGGCGGCGATGGCGGCGATGGCGGCGATGGCGGCGATGGCGGCGATGGCGGCGATGGCGGCGATGGCGGCGATGGCGGCGATGGCGGCGATGGCGGCGATGGCGGCGATGGCGGCGATGGCGGCGATGGCGGCGATGAGGGCGATGGCGGCGATGGTGGCGATGGCGGCGATGACGGCGATGGTGGCGATGGTGGCGATGGCGGCGATGAGGGCGATGGTGGCGATGAGGGCGATGGTGGCGATGACGGCGATGGTGGCGATGGTGGCGATGGTGGCGATGAGGGCGATGGTGGCGATGGTGGCGATGGCGGCGATGGCGGCGATGGCGGCGATGAGGGCGATGGTGGCGATGGCGGCGATGGCGGCGATGAGGGCGATGAGGGCGATGAGGGCGATGGTGGCGATGGTGGCGATGGTGGCGATGGCGGCGATGGCGGCGATGGCGGCGATGACGGCGATGACGGCGATGGTGGCGATGACGGCGATGAGGGCGATGAGGGCGATGGCGGCGATGGTGGCGATGACGGCGATGGTGGCGATGACGGCGATGGTGGCGATGAGGGCGATGACGGCGATGAGGGCGATGAGGGCGATGGTGGCGATGACGGCGATGACGGCGATGACGGCGATGAGGGCGATGAGGGCGATGGTGGCGATGCCGGCGATGGTGGCGATGACGGCGATGACGGCCGGCGGCTGCGTCGGGTTGATCGGAGGCAGCGCGAACCTGCTCCGGACGAGTCCTCCACCATGGGGTTGATCTCGATCATGCTGGCGTCATACTTCATGAACACGCCGTACAGCTTCATCATGAGCTCGGCCGCGTCGTTACAAAGCTCGTCGGGGAAGCCGATCTTCTGAGCCACCTGCCGAGCGGACGGGGTCACGGGGGGAAGGGTTGACGGGAGAGAGAAGGAGAAAGCGGCGGGAGACTGGAGAAAGACGACGACAGAAAAAAGCGTTTTTTTTATTTGAACGTTGTTCTGTTGCTGAAGAAGCTCCCAGCGCGCGGAGAGAAATGTCGCGACATCGCACCGAACAATACGTGGGTTCGACCCAAACGTACACTGCGGGAGTATTTTAAATCACGTGAAGAGATTAAAAAAAGTTTTGCTGGCTGGGCACGCAAGCGGACGGTGCCGACGTCGCCGCGCATGCCCCAGCGGCGGAGGCGGGTTGCATCGCCGTGCTCCCCTGTCACGCCTCCCCTCCGCTCACCTCCGTATCAGCGCGGTTGGCCACGTCCGGAGCGAAATGTAGTTCAGCGCACATCCTGTATGTCGATCCCGCGCGCAAGCGCATGCGGCGTTAAGTCATTTCTCATTAGACCCCACCCCCCCCGCCTCTCGTCCTACGAAAATCAACGCCGCCTGTCATCTTCATAACCATCAACGCGATGCCACAATCTATCCACTGCCGCATGAAGGCCGTCTCACCGTTCCTGCGCCCCCCGCGGTCCCCTCCGTGGTGCCGCCTACTCACCCGCAGGGCCTGCTCGTGGTTGATGCCCTCCATGATGTCGATGGGCTCCTTGACGATGGCGTCGGGGTTCTCGGCCGCGACGTCCTCGATGTTGACGCCGCCGTGGGAGCTGCCGATGATCACCGGGCCCTGCGGCGTCGCGTGCGGTGCGTGCGGAGCGGTGCGTGCGGTGCGTGCGGAGCGTGCGGAGCGTGTGCGGAGAACGGAGGCGCAGCGGTTAGCGTGCCACGCGACAAACCCGGCGGCCCGGGTTCAATTCCGGCACGCGGCCATCAACGCCAGTGACGATTATCTGAACTGGTCCTGGGTCCTCCCCTAGGTCGACTCGGCCTCAAATGGTGCAGTGTGTAAACATCGCCCTTATAGGTTGCTTGCCGACAGCGCTTACTCCTACAGTCTGTTAAAGGCTACATGGGGGATCTTTGTCTTTTGCGTGCATATAGACACAGGTGGTACACATCAGCCAGTCATCTCAATCAAGTCAACCCATGGCGCCCGGGTCTGTGCAGCGACCTCCTGCCAGCCAACCTTTGACACATCACGTGGCCTCGGAGTGCACCTAGCCTGGCACAAGCGCCACGGAAACATCACCACCACTTAGTGGCGAATGGCGGCTGTTGTTGTTGTTGCAGACAAAGAGACCGTGTCCATCTCGGCCTAACAGACGTTGCGTCGACTTGAAGGTGGGCACGTGGCTAAGCAGTAGAGCGCATTCGCCGCCTGCTGAAGAGGTTTCGCGGTTTTCAGCCCAGTGGCCGCACTGGCTAATGCCGTGCATGCCCTGGCAAAAAAACCCTATTATTACACGTCGCTCTGCCTCTACATCAGCCATACTAAAGGAGAAGTGGTAGTTTAAGATCCACAGTGGATGTTAAGGAACCTGCGATGTTGTTTGATCAAGGGTAAGCCATTGCGTGCCACGGTCACAGTCCAATTTTGCGAATTTAGAAAATTACAAATTACTTGAGTGAATCAGCCAAAATATCAATATCGCCCCCCAACAGCCAAACCACTGAGCCCTTCTTGAGCGAAGTGGGGGGGGGGTTAATGAATGCATATAAATGACAATTTAGTATCCTTCTTCTTGGTTCTTTCGGTAAAGTCACGTAGAAGTGAAATAATAAAATAATAAAAATAAAACATTATAAATATACGCTGCCAAGCCTGGTGGTGTTCATTCAGGCGCTGTCTTTCCGACAGACCTGTTCTTCACCTGAGGACGGCTGCTTGCGTTGTGGCCGAAACGTTGTGAGAATTATTTTATTATGTTTTATTTTTATTATTTTCCTTCTACGTGACTTTACCGAAAGAACCAAGAAGATGAATCCCTGCAGTCACGAAAGCTTTAAATCGAAATTTAATTTAGTATCCATTGGCGGTTGGGTTATTTATATGGTAAGCAATGTACATTATGCAAGCCCATTGTTCTTGTACCTCCTGCCTATTGTTCAACGGTAATCCCTATTGATATCTGGGGACCTGTATAGGCATGCGTTTAAACAATGTATTATTTGAGGATTTGCTTCCAAGCAGCAATAAGTCTGTAGCTATCCAAACGGTTAAAATTATTTTTATTTCCCTCAATTTCAATAGATTCTCCAATTAGTCTTGGCCGGTAGTAACTCGCTTTGCACAGAACTTCAAAATTACCAAAATCAATCGAGTGTCCTTGTTGGCCACGCGTGTTCTGTCACTGCAACTTCTGTCTCATTCGTTAAAACAAATTAAAACCGAAACAACGCTGGCAAAGAGACAAAAAAACACATCTCAAAATATACTGGTGTGTGTCAATTCCCATGCATTCGTTCGATAAAACTTTTGGGGAAAAAAAACGCGCCTGCGAAAAAAAAACCGCACATCTGGACAGACGAAAGAAACGAAGGTCTGAAAGCACCGTCCCTCGACGCCGCGTCGACTCGTGTCGTACGAAGGAGCCACACCTGGAAGGCTCTCTCGAGTGCGATGGCGAAGTAGTACTCGCGGCGCGGGTAACGGCGCTCGCAGATGAACACGTGGTTACAGATGCGCCCCTTCTCGCCCGTCTGCTTCGTGTACAGCTTCTTGCCGAGCATGCGGCTCGCCAGGTCCCGCGCTTCCTCGGGCCTGACGATCGTACGCACGGCATCGCACACGCACGCCATCGCACACGCACGCCATCGCACACGCACGGCATCGCACACGCACGCCATCGAACAGCGGACACGCGCGGCATCGCACACGCACGCCATCGAACAGCGGACACGCGCGGCATCGCACACGCACGGCATCGCACACGCACGCCATCGCACACGCACGGCATCGCACGCCATCGCACACGCACGGCATCGCACACGCACGCCATCGCACACGCACGGCATCGCACACGCACGGCATCGCACACGCACGGCATCGCACACGCACGGCATCGCACACGCACGCCATCGCACACGCGCGCCATCGAACAGCGGACACGCGCGACATCGCACACGCGCAGGAGCGAGCGCGGTAAAGCCACACGAAAGACGAACGACGCCCGTAGTGATGTACGCGACGCCGACACTTTTGTTGAGTGCGTCAAATTGTTACGGGGTGAAAATTATCTGAACGTCGGCAAAAGAAATTACTAAAAAATCTGTCGCCCTTATAAAATCAGACAGTTTTTTTTAAATCCCCAATTCATCTCTACGACAAGGCACACACCCCCGCAAGACAGGGCGTGTTTGTGCTTCTTAGGACGTGTTCGACGATACGGCTTCCCACCGCGTGCCACTTTTAAAACATTGCCGCCCCCCCCGCTCAGCTTTGAGAAGCCGTTGGTAAGCAAGTGTCCGGCTAAGCGGGTCGGTTCGGCGTGAGAACGTCTCCGTCGTGCCTGCACGTCTCAAGTCCATCTCGGCTCGACGCTCATCGTCGTGCGTCCCGCGACGAAGCTAGTCCTCTCTAACAAACTGCCCCCCTCATGGCCGCATCGTTCCTTTTTTAAATCCTTTATATTAAGTTCACTTGCTTGCTTGCGCGCTTACGACCGTGCAAATCTTTCGGTCGTTTTTTAACCCACTTCCCGTGATCCAATCGAGCTGACATTTTGCAGACAGACTCGTTGTGCGTGACAATTTATTTTCGTGAAAAAATTTTCCCAAAATTTTACACTTTTTAGAAATTTTTTTTTATATGTAATTACCAATTGCTTAATGGTGGCAGACAATCATCTGACCCATAGGTGGCAGCCATCTCAAGCCAGAGGACGAGAGGACTCTAGCCGCCACGCATATAAAGGATTTATAGTGAAAAACTTTGTTTTTACGGGTTAATTTTTTTTCCATCATTCTCAACGGTGGTACAGCGTCCGTTTGATCCGTTGGCGTAATAATAAGTCCGAATTAGAACTCGCGAAATGCACGCTGCAAAGTTTGCTCACGCATTCGCACATTTTTTTCTATCGAGTTAACAAATGCTGGTCTTCGCTGGCAAAAGCAATCGTGGAGGGAGATTGCCCTCTAGCGGACAATGTGTTACAACAACTGCCAAACTCAGATTCACCCCCATCCCTTGGTTATAATAAATACAGATCATCGATCTTCTTGGTTCTTTCGGTAAAGTCACGTGACTTTACCGAAAGAACCAAGAAGAAGTCACGAAAGCTTTAAATCGAAATCGGCAGATTTGGGGGGCAAGGTGGGTGCCGGATTACCAAAATTGGAGGGGAAGGGGGGCGCCGGATTAGCAAAAACGCCAGATAATCACTGCTAATCGATATTTAAAATTGCTTATTTTTGCACATTCTTGTATAAAATGTTTTTAGGTGTTGTGTATGTTTTTTAAATTTGATTACTATATGAAATTGGCATAAATAATCATGCAAATAGACAAACAATAAATATCCTACTGTAAAAAAGTTACCGTGTTCACTTTACCGTACTTGCCACTCCAATCGCGAAGACTCTGCATCATGGGGTAATGTACGTAGTACTACGGCGCTCTTAAATTTAGATTTAAAGCTTTCGTGACTGCAGGGATTAATATTCTTGGTTCTTTCGGTAAAGTCGCGTAGAAGGGAAATAATAAAATAATATAAATATAAAACAATAAAAATTCTCACGACGTTTCGACTGCAACACAAGCAGTCATCATCAGGTGTGAAATCCACGGCAATAATTTTTTAATTGTTTTATATTTTTTTATTATGTCCCTTCAACAACACGTGTGGATGATCGCCGGACTGATGCAGCCTTTAGACCGGTGCTCCAGCGGTTGTTAGTCATGAAAATTGTATACAAGTGCAGTATTTTCATTGTTTAAGTTGTTCTATGTAGTGTATAATGTACTGCAATTAATGTTTAACACTGAAATCAAGCTTTGCTACTTTTCTTCGTCACGTACATGGTGCCGATCGCCGGATTGGGTACAGCCTTGGGAGCGATTTTGCCGGATCAGCCAGGGACCGGCAGATAATGTTGGAAGCCGGATAATTGCTCGCCAGATAATCGATGATTAACTGTATCACGATTCAGTGTGTGATTTTGATTGAAACATCTTTTTTAATTAAAATTTCTTCCTTCTCACCTGTACTGATTTTCTGTCTAAGTAGCGTAGTTTTGTTTGCTTCGTGCGAATATGATTTCCGTGCATCATAAATCATTAAATTCTCAAACCGCATGATGCGACCATCTGTGGACATCTGTGAAAAAGATCTTCATAGCTCGTCGGATTCCTCCAGTCAAAATAAATATTCTGATTCTGAATAATCAATCAATGAATGGACCCATCAACACATCTCTCTTGTTAACTCGAATTAAGCTAACCAATCGAACCTCGGCAACACCCTTCCACCTAACCCTACTCCTCACCCCGACCCATCCACGCTTAACCCCCAGGCATTGCGTTTCCATTTCTGTTTTGACGTTCGTTTGCGCGTTTTTACTCACGAGTAGACGATCTTGACCCCCCCACGAAGGCCACCTTCAAACACTCCCTTTCCTCGTCCCCCGGCTAGCACCTGGGCCTTCACCACCAGGTCTGTGGAGCCTGCAGAGGTCACACAAGGAGTCAGACAGGGGTCAGACAGGGGTCACGAACATCAGTAATCGCTGTTGAGAGCGGAGGCCGCACACATATGAAGGGGGCAGACAGAACGTGGTGGTCGTCATTCTATTGAAGTAGAACAGCATTCTGCGCGGCGGAGTTTTGCAAAGGATGCCAAATTAAAATGTTCGTTTGTTCATTTCTCAGTCCGCTTGTCCTGGTGAGGATCACGGCGGCAGCGTGTTGAGTAGTGGCGGTCCCATGCCTCCATTTCCCTGGCCACAGACTCTAGCTCTACACTACTATACACTACTACACTATACACTACTACACTATACACTACACTGTATACTACACTATACACCACTACACTATACACTACACTATACACTACACCACTACACTATACACTACACTATATACTACTACACCACTACACTATACACTACACTATATACTACTACACCACTACACTATACACTACACTATATACTACTACACCACTACACTACACACTACACTATATACTACTACACCACTACACTACACTATATACTACTACACAACTACACTATACACTACACTATATACTACTACACTACACACTACACTATATACTACTACACCACTACACTACACTATATACTATTACACCACTACACTACATACTACTACACCACTACACTATACACTACACTATATACTACTACACCACTACACTACACACTACACTATATACTACTACACCACTACACTACACTATATACTATTACACCACTACACTACATACTACTACACCACTACACTATACACTACACTATATACTACTACACCACTACTACACTACACTGTACACTACTACACCACTACACTATATACTACTACACCACTACACTATACATTATACTACTACACCACTACTACACTACACTAAACACTACTATACTATAATACAATACGATAACCTACTACACTACACAATACACTACGAAACACAGACTCCAGCTCTTCGTGGGGAATTCCCAGGCGTTCTCAGGCCAGCCGAGTGGCATAGTCCCACCGCTAACGCACCCCGGGCCGGCCCCGGGCTCTTCACCCAAAATGTATACTTTGTTAACTCATGTATGGCAAGCAATGCAATTGGGCTGTGACTTTCGGAGACCTTCATTCTGCAATGGACTGACAACAAAAATGAGCATGTTCTGATACAATGTAAAAAAAATAAAAAGCTCGTTTTGATAAAAACATCAACAAATATGTTGAGCTATTTATCTCACGCCAAGTGAATGTACGACAACACGCATCGTTACTGCAGGTCGCATCCCCGTTTGTTTTTCTTTTAAATCGAAGAATTCAAAACGAAATGCTGAAACATGCTCACGTCGTAGAACAAACACGACCCCACGCACAACAAAAACAAAATAGGCAATCGGAAGCATCTCAAGGTTTTAAAATCGGGTTTGAGTTCGGTGATGGGAACAAAGTCGGATGAAAGCCAAGGCTTACAAACGCTACACCGAACGATAAAAAAATGTTTGCGCGAGCAAACACCAAACCATGGACGCCAGATCACTACCGTAACTGCAGTTCTCAACCGGCCTCAACGAGTCTGCATTTCACTTGCCAGCGGCTGCCTGCTGACATCGCACTCCGCTCTCCTCTCTGCGTTCTCGGCTCCCCCCACAATGAGGTTTCACTCTTCTCGTCTCGACCCAATGGAGCGTTGTTTCTTCACCCCTGCCGTCTCCGCTGTCGATAAACTCCTTAACCCTGGGCATTGTTTACATACCGCCCTGTTCCAAGTCCAGACTCCATGACTAAACCCCCATTCTCTTCCGCTTTTGAATGACTTTTCTCCATACCCTGAACTTGCACGTGCATATTAACGGAAAGGCGCACGAGGGGGTGGGTGGCCAACACGGCATCCGACCGACTTGGGCTCCCTAGTGGCGATGCTTACACTTCGCACTAGGCACTCATTTGAGGCCGAGTCGACCTAGGGGAGGCCCACGACTGGTTCAGATACTGGTGTTGGCCGTGAGCTGGAATCGAACTCGGGTCGCCGGGTTCGTAGCGCAGCCCATTAACCACTACACTACCTCTACCCACAAACCTAAAAAGATGGATGCATGTATGTTCGCGCCGTACGTAGCCAATTGATTTAAAAGTGCGCAGCTCTGAGTGACTTCCTAATATCAGAAGGAAGAAAGCGTTCCAGACGGCCGCAGAAACGCATCCGAAAGCGCGCGATGCGGTGACCACCGTCTTCTTTGTTCGATGGCCAGCAACCAAAAAGTTGCTGCTGCTGCTGCGACGTAATTACTGCACTGTGGGGGGGTTTTCTTTCTTCCTCTAAAATATTAGTCACCCGTGTTCCAAGCCACTTCCCCGTTTCGAGATCACCCCACTCCACACTCGACGTAATTCCCCTTCAAAATAGAGGTTTCTGGGTTAGATCGCGTAAATATGCGTCGTTTAAACCCGCCACCACCCAGACACAGCCCACTAGTAAGGGTTGTCATGTAAACAGAACGTGCCAATTCGTCACTGGTACAGCGCACCGGTGTGTTGGAGAGCTAGATCTGTGGCTGTCGCCTGAAGCAAGTTGTAATTACTGGCGAAACGTCGTACTCAGATTGTAAATGTTGTGGCTTGGCTCTCCATCATACCGGTGTGCTGTACTAGTATACTACACTATACACTACACTATACACTACACTATACACTACTATACACGCTACACTACGTAACATTATACACTACACTATACACTACTATACACTACACTACGATACACTATACACTATACTATAGACTAGTGCTGTACTCGTGACGAATTGCCCACGTTCTGTTTACGTGACAATCCTTACTAGTTGGCCGTGTCGGGTGGTGGCGGGTTTTAACGACACATTTATATATTGACACGCTGTAACTCAAAAACCTCTTATGGATGATATTGGTCGCGAAAGCCTGCTACGTGTTAAACTGTAATTCCCCTTGTTTGTGGCATAATGTCTGGAAATACAAGCGCATTCAAACTCTTTGTAGATGCAAACTACATCCCGGTCTAGCGCATGCCATTTCAGAGCTCGCCACTAATTTTTCATAGCCAAGCAATCTTCAGGCCTCAACTTCCTCCTCCTTTTTCGCAAATGGGATGCGAGGCGATTTCCCCGAGAGTAGTGGTCCGACGTTCGAGGACGAGTGACCAAAACTGATACTCGGAACACAAATCGGTTCCCGTCGCTTGGGGTGTCATCGTTTACGCGGTGTACGAGGTCTCTCTCCGATGTACTCTTTGGTTTTTTCTCGGTAAAGTCGCGTAGGTAAAAAAATTAAAATAAATTAAATCACGACGTTTTGGAGGCAACACAAGCTTCCGTCTTCAGGTGGAACCGTCACAGCAAAATTACTGTATCAAGTATCACAGTTTGTGTTGCCTCCGAAACGTCGTGATTTAATTTATTTTAATTTTTTACCTACGTGACTTTACCGACAAAACCAAAGAGCATGAATCCTTTCAGTCACGAAAACATCAAATCTAGAATCTCTCCGATGTATTTTTGCTGGGCTCGTACACCGTGTGTCGCTTGCCAGGTGCAGCGAAACGCCGGACATCGCGCCGAACAGGAGGCCACAACAACCTTGGAAGATGCATCGGAGGGGCTATGGATATAATGATCACATTACAAATACGACGACGACTTATATATATATTCTTTGTTCTTTCTGTAAAGTCACGTAGAAGGGAAATAATAAAAAAATAAAAATAAAACATAATAAAATAATTCTCACGACGTTTCGGCCACAACGCAAGCAGCCGTCCTCAGGTGGAGAACAGGTCTGTCGAGAAGACAGCGTCTGAATGTTCCTGTTCTCCACCTGAGGACGGCTGCTTGCGTTGTTATTTTATTACTTCCCTTCTACGTGACTTTACCGAAAGAACCAAGAAGATGAATCCCTGCAGTCACGAAAGCTTTAAATCGAGACTTATATATCCTCGACAAAATTGACCGGGGCCTCGTTCTACGCCGCCACGGTGCGTGCCTCACCCATGCCCTTGGCCACCTTGTAGGCCTCCTCGACGGAGGTGGCCACCGTGCCCTTGGGCACCTTGACCCCGGCCTCCTGCAGCAGCTCCATGCTCATGTACTCGTGCAGGGACAGCTGCCGCCGCTGCTGCGGCTGATGCGGCTGCTGATGCAGGATGGGCGCCCCCATGACCTGAAGAAGCGGACACACGACAAACGGTGACGTCGCTTTACGGCCGCAGCCGTCGGCGCCGTCAGCAACGTGACCCGCCGTCGCAGCCGTCGCCAGCGTCACCGCCGTCGCAGCCGTCAGCAACATCACCACAGTCAACGACGTCACCAATGTCACCACCGTCACCACCATCACCACCGTCACCACCGTCACCACCGTCACCACCGTCACCACGGTCACCACCGTCACCACCATCAGCAGTCACCACCATCACCACCGTCACCACCGTCACCACCATCAGCAGTCACCACCAGCAGTCACCACCGTCACCACCGTCACCACCATCAGCAGTCACCAACGTGGTCACCGTCACCACCGTCACCACCATCACCACCGTCACCACCGTCACTAGTCACCAACGTGGTCACCGTCACCACCGTCACCACCATCACCACCGTCACCACCGTCACTAGTCACCAACGTGGTCACCGTCACCACCGTCACCACCATCACCACCGTCACCACCGTCACTAGTCACCAACGTGGTCACCGTCACCACCGTCACCACCATCAGCAGTCACCACCATCACCACCGTCACCACCGTCACCACCATCAGCAGTCACCACCAGCAGTCACCACCGTCACCACCGTCACCACCATCAGCAGTCACCAACGTGGTCACCGTCACCACCGTCACCACCATCACCACCGTCACCACCGTCACTAGTCACCAACGTGGTCACCGTCACCACCGTCACCACCATCAGCAGTCACCACCATCACCACCGTCACCACCGTCACCACCATCAGCAGTCACCACCAGCAGTCACCACCAGCAGTCACCACCGTCACCACCGTCACCACCATCAGCAGTCACCAACGTGGTCACCGTCACCACTGTCACCACCATCACCACCGTCACCACCGTCACTAGTCACCAACGTGGTCACCGTCACCACCGTCACCACCATCAGCAGTCACCACCATCACCACCGTCACCACCGTCACCACCATCAGCAGTCACCACCAGCAGTCACCACCGTCACCACCGTCACCACCATCAGCAGTCACCAACGTGGTCACCGTCACCACCGTCACCACCATCACCACCGTCACCACCGTCACTAGTCACCAACGTGGTCACCGTCACCACCGTCACCACCATCAGCAGTCACCACCATCACCACCGTCACCACCGTCACCACCATCAGCAGTCACCACCAGCAGTCACCACCGTCACCACCGTCACCACCATCAGCAGTCACCAACGTGGTCACCGTCACCACCGTCACCACCATCACCACCGTCACCACCGTCACTAGTCACCAACGTGGTCACCGTCACCACCGTCACCACCATCAGCAGTCACCACCATCACCACCGTCACCACCGTCACCACCATCAGCAGTCACCACCAGCAGTCACCACCGTCACCACCGTCACCACCATCAGCAGTCACCAACGTGGTCACCGTCACCACCGTCACCACCATCACCACCGTCACCACCGTCACTAGTCACCAACGTGGTCACCGTCACCACCGTCACCACCATCAGCAGTCACCACCATCACCACCGTCACCACCGTCACCACCATCAGCAGTCACCACCAGCAGTCACCACCGTCACCACCGTCACCACCATCAGCAGTCACCAACGTGGTCACCGTCACCACCGTCACCACCATCACCACCGTCACCACCGTCACTAGTCACCAACGTGGTCACCGTCACCACCGTCACCACCATCAGCAGTCACCACCATCACCACCGTCACCACCGTCACCACCATCAGCAGTCACCACCAGCAGTCACCACCGTCACCACCGTCACCACCGTCACCACCGTCAGCAGTCACCAACGTGGTCACCGCCGTCACCAAAGTCACCACCATCACAGCCATCACTACCATGACCACCTACACCAGCGTCAGCAATATCACCACCGTCACAGACCCACTTGCCAGAGGTTCTGTTCCCACCACAGCAGCCTGGCAACTTGAATTACCAAAGACTGTGTTGTTGGATATTAAATAGATGTGCAGGGTCCTGTAACACGCAGGTGGACAGGTGGCTGAGATCCTGGGTTCAAAATCAGGCCACCGACCGCCTTTGTTCGACCAGGTTCCAAAGAGTAAAACGGGCCCATCCCATCAAAGCCAATGAGAGAAAATGCACTTTTCGCTCTCCCACTAATCAAGAGTGAAGCACCAATTGGGTGTGTGGTACAGGTCTGAAATTCCTGTCTGCCAGTTGTGACGCACAGGCAAAGATATGGATCTCCCATTAAGCGTTGTATTCTGCCAGGAAATGTCACGTTAGCAAATGCCTCTTTAAACTAATCTCAACTAAGAACGATTTCTATTTTACCACGTAAGGCCCACTGAGCTGTATAGCTCTTTTTCAGAAGAGACCTGGCCATCACAAATGATAGGCCAACGAGAAGTGGCTTATCATCACTTGGAAATTTATAGCAGCCAAATACTCTAAACGCGTGTTTCTAAATGTGGAGGTATTAAATTATATTTCAAAAGCGAGCCAGCCATAAATAGTTTAGACATTTATAGCGCCAAAATAGTCTAAATAGTTTTCGATTTAAAGCTTTCGTGACTGCAGGGATTCATCTTCTTGGTTCTTTCACCTGAGGACGGCTGCTTGCGTTGTGGCCGAAACGTCGTGAGAATTATATTATTATGTTTTATTTTTATTATTTTATTAGTCTAAATAATCTCAATGCATTTTTCTAAATGTGGAGGGAAAAACCGAAGGACCCGGAGATGAATCCACGTGACCACGGAGAGAGAGAGAGAGAGAACACGCAAACTCCAAATATACAGGAGTCGTGAGGGTGGGGATCGAACCCACGACCTCCTGCATACCAGGCGAGGGCGATAACATCACCACCTTGGCGCCAGCAAAGCGAGTGATCTGGCCTGCACCAACAATTATGGAGTCACATTTTACTCCCCATTCCAATGTTGACACAATGCACCACTCACTCGTCGTAGATTGCCTGCGGACTTAAAGACGCCTTGTATACAAATACACCTATGTTCGTGCACGACAATAAACCATTATTACCTCTGAAATAAGCCCCCCCCCCTCCCCACCCCCCGTCTTTGCCTTTTGTTGTTGATGTAACTCAACTCAAGTGCTATAATCGAGTTGTGTTACAAGCTTTCTGGGCCAAAGGTCCCCGTCAAAAAATATTTTTAAGTGAGGCCAACTTGACAATTAGCCGGACTCGCCATTGGCAAACTCACTTCATCATCCATAATAGTTGTTTTTGCGTTAGATGGCGTAAATATAAATGTTAATTCTAGATTTGAAGCTTTCGTGACTGCAAGGATTCATACTCTTAGTTCTTTCGGTAAAGTCACGTAGGTAAAAAATGAAATCTAAATTAATTTTGATTTCATTTGTTACCTACGTGACTTTACCAAAAGAACTAATAAATATAAATGTGTCGTTAAACCCGCCGCGACCCGCCACAGCCAACTAGTAAGTTTTGTCACGTAAACAGAACGTGCCAGTCCGTTACTAGTACAGCACACCGGTGCGTTGGAGAGCAAATCCACAACATTTACAATCATTCACTTCATCATTATCTACTCAGCCGGAATGCGATGTCGCCACTAAGAAGCTCGTAGGCTAAGCGAGAGGCACGTGTGCCCCCAATCCCGCTCGAATGGGCAAACCGCCACGCACAGCATGTGTTGGGAGACTGCCTTGTGGGCAGCAAGAGAGCAGTGAGGAAAAACTCCATTGTCGTACAGAGTTCCCCCCCGCTTCTATGCTGCCCGCCTTCGCCAACCCCGGCACTGACCAGCGTGGTGGTGACATGATGGCAGAGGTCGCAACCGGGTATCCGATACCCGTACCCTACCCGATACCCGGTTACCCGTACGGGTACGGGTACCCGATTGCGACCCTGGTGCGGCCGGGTACGGGTAGGCCGTGAGTCACTGGTGAGTCACCATTTGTCACTCATTTCGGGTAGGGTACGGGTACGGGTAGGGAACGGGTACCCGTACCATTTGCGATCCTGGTGCGGCCGGGTACGGGTAAGGAATCAAAACCCGTATGCGACCTCTGCATGGTGGTGGTGGTGGTGGTGGTCAAATAACCCCATGGTGACCGGCGCAGGCATGACCGGGAGCAGAGGGCCCTTATCTAGCAGCGGATTGCTGGAAGTGAAGCGGCCGTTGCGTTTACACATCTGGCAGAGCAGAGTCACGGCATCGCACGCGCGGCGCTTTCAGACGCGCTTCTGCGGCCCGTCTGGAACGCTCTCTTCCTTCCGATATTAGTAAGCCACTGGGAGTTATGATGCACCACCTTTAAATCATCTCGAGCGGTGGTTGTTAAACCCCTGGAGCTGCGAGATGCCCTTCCTGGGGGGGAGGGTGTGAGACATGGCCAGATTTTTTGTAGAAGGTAAATCATCGAAACACAACTTAAGCACGAGCAACGCAGGTACAATTTACTTTGTTTCTTCAAACCCTACGTATTTATTTACATTGTACATGTTTTTAACGATTGAGAACCAAAGGAGTGCAAGGCTGCAGTGAAGGTTAAGAACCACACTGCTCTTGATTGACAAACTGCTTCCTTTAGAACTGCTTTGTGTTCAGCATACGCCACTGCACGTACTATGTGGAGCATAGCTCTCCGATCGAAACAGTAAGAGTGACCCATCTTCTTGGTTCTTTCGGTAAAGTCACGTAGAAGGGAAGTCATTAAAAAAAAACATAGTAAAATAATTCTCACGACGTTTCGGCCGTCCTCAGGTGAAGACCAGGTCTGTCGGGGAGACAGCGTCTACGTGACTTTACCGAAAGAACCAAGAAGATGAATCCCTGCAGTCACGAAAGCTTTAAATCGAAAAGTAAGAGTGACACAGCGCTCCCACGTAAAAAACCTTTTGAATTAAATTAAACACCGGGAACATTTCATTCAGGCCGTGTTCAGAAGCAAAACATCATTGGCTGGGTGTGACGAGATGAAAAACCGCACCTCCAAT